GGGGGGGGGGGCAGGACCGCGCTGCTGAGCTCAGCTATTCCTCGGCAGCCGCCCCGCCCCGCCCCGCGCGCCCCGCCCCGCCCGCGCCGCGCATCTCCGCCTCCCGCTCCCTCCCAAGCGGCGCGCCGGCGGCCGGGAGCTGTCCAAAGTGCTGATCGCGGCTCGGGAGGCGGCAGGCAGCGCCTCGGCTCCGCGGCGCACCATGCCTCGCTCCTTCCTGGTCAAGAAGATCAAGGCGGACACTTTCCAGCCCGGCCCGGCCACCCCCACGTACCACCCCCTGGAAACTTCGTACAATGAGCTGGCGGCGCCTCTGGGGGACGGCGACCCCGGGGTGGAGGATGGTAAGCACCGGGGGTGGGGGGAGGCCTCCGTGAAGGCTGGAAGGCACGGCGGGGGCGCGGGGCGCGCGTAACGGGTGTGCGCATTCAGCGGGGAGACACACGGGGGCTTGCGTGACGGGAGGTTCCGTATCCGGATGGGGGACAAGTGCTTTGCCGTTTCACAGAGCCTTTGCCTGGGGAGTCTCCGTTATTGAACACTGGGGGGAGGGAGCCTAATGGCTCCCTTTTTTGGCCCCTCCCCTCTTCGGCAACCACAGAGGCTCCTGAGCCTCTAGGGAAGCGAGGCAGATGTGGGCATCTCCTGCAGCAGTCAGCGGGCCTTCGGAGAAGGGGTGGTCTCTAAAACCGAAGGGAGCAAAATCCAACGCGAGCCCTTCGTGAGGAGCCGGAGTCTTTTCCCGGGGTGTTCACACAAGTGTGCGTGACCCTCCCGTGCGCAGGACTGGCAGAGAAAGGGTGTGTGGCTTGGGGAAGGGCAGTGTCGATGACCTCGCAGGGTGCCGTCAGCCAGGGATCCTGTGGAGGAAGGGGGGGCGCAAACTTCCCGCGGGCGGTGGTGCGGGTGTCCGGGGCGCTGATCGTGTCACATGGACCCCGCTTGCACGAGGAGTGCAGACAGCTCCAACCCATTTGTGCTGCATGAGATGGGAGAACGAGCGACCATAACTGTCTTTTTAAAGAGGCGGGGAGGAAGGGAAGAAACTTGGCCAAGGTCATCGGAGGGGCTAACGGAGCTATTCCGTGCTGCTCCACTGAACGGACCGCAGTCCATATTCAAGGTCTTTATGTGCTTCCTTTCATCGACCCCTTACAAAGGGCGGACAGCTCCCCTCCCGTTCCTCTGCGCGGCAGGGGCAGCGCTCTCCTCCGCTCTCCTTTCCCCAAGTTTATGACTCAAAGCAGCAAACCCTTCCGTTTGCACCCCCTATGATTTATAGCTTTGCTTCCCCCCCCACCCCCGCCATTTGCAGCCCTCCCATACTGGTGTAGGGTGACCTCCACGAGGTGCCAGGTGACCTATAAGAGAACCCTTCCCATTCTTACTTTTCCAAAAGATCATGCCCTCATTTGAAAGTTACGCCTTGCTGCGCAGGTTGGCACATGCCTGTTTTCTCGCCGTGTTCATTGCTCCAACCTCCAGGAGTCAAATTCCAGCTCAGTCCAGCCATTGAAATCGATGGGACTTCTGTTAGGGGGGCAAGCATTGGATGGAACCCAAGGAAAGGAAGAACAAGCTCTCTACCCATTCGGCCTTTTGGGGGTTGAACCTTTGTTTTAAGGATGCGTTCCTAGGGAAACCTCTTCCCACCTCACTGATGAGCCAAAGGCGCTACGGCTCCCAACACCCACCATCCCCTTCTGCATGGCGGTGGCGGCCTGCCGAACGGAGGGTCAGCCCTGTATGTGGCGGAGCCCCGATCCGCTGAACCCCGCAGGCGTTTGGTGCTCGGCTCCGTTGGACATTCTCCAGCCTTGTGCATGGAGAAGCCTGTGTGGGATCCATTGATGAGGACGGTGTTACTCAGGCAGACCCAAAGCACCCTCCCAGCCACCTGCCTGGAGCCTCACAACCCTCCCGACCCGTGGGGCCGGATGTTCACCGCCCTCCCCTCCAGTCTCGCCTCGTGTCCAGAAGCACCCAGCCTCCACAGAGGGGTGTTCCATGGAACTCCAGCCCAGAGAGGACCCCCCCTCCCAAATCTAGCCCATGAAGGCTTCAGCTCTCTCCACATTCCCTCCTTCCTGTCCCAGGTCCCACCCCTGAAGGTTACTGGGTGCCTGGGGAAGAGGTGAGGCGAGGATCTTCGATCTAGCGATGAAGCCACGCTGGCGAAAAGCTGTCAGGCATCTGACACGCCACAGCCTGGTCCTTTAAAAAGGCAAAACAAATCCGACGCATGCATTTCTCTCCTCCTCCTTCCCACTACGGAGGCGTCAAGGTGACTTAAGGCACAACCTATACATCTTCCGTCCTACATCTGGGGAATGCTGGGAGTTGCCAGGATTTCTTCTGTCCAAACCAACGTTGCCCTTTGGATCCAAAAAAAGCCCCACGTTCCTGCAAGAGGTCGACAGAAGCACGGACTGCGAACACAGCGCATGCCAGTTGCCAATGCTCGAGGCAAGAGCGCGTGCATGTTACTGGCTTATATATGTTCTGCTCTAATTTTAAAAATAAGCTACCAAGGAAACCCAACTCCTACAATCAGAAGTGCCTCTGAGCAAGGAGCAAGCCTCTCTCTTGCACTGTATTTGGAAAGGGTTGCTGTATACAAAGAGAACGCAAATTGGCAAGCAACGGGGAAAAGAGACTAAAAGGATCTGAAGGCAGAGGATGTGGAAAATCCCAGTGCCAGGAGCTGGGAAAGCAGCGAGGAAGGCAGGCAGCTGCTTAGGGGCTGTTCAAGCCCCACCCCCCATTACTGGAAATCTCGCTCAGCCTCCATCTGACATCTGAAATTTCACTCCAGCCAGCACATTTCCAAGCACACTCTTTTTTCCCAGCTTAAGCGAGGAAGAAGGGAAATAGAGACCTAAATTCGGGAGGTGGGTACTTCTAGGACAAGAAATCACTGGGGAATCGTCTTAAATCAGGAAGGCATGGCATGGGGTGTGTTAGAGCAAAGAGAAGACCCCGTGGCTGACTTGTACATGCCAGCCAGCACGGTGCAGGGGCCAGAGTGCCTGACTAGTAGGGGGAAGACACAGGTTCGAATCCCTGCGGAGCCATGGAGCTGAGACCATGACGCCAACCTACCTCACAGGGCTGTTGTGAGGATAAAAGTGGTTGAGCATAGACGTTCTGGGCTTCTTAGCCACCCTGTGAGCCAAAGCTTCTTTACATGAACGAATCAGCCAGCCAGCCAGCCAACCACTCTTACCTTCCTGTTGTCCATCTTATGACTAAAGGACCACTTCCCCATTTCCTCGGTCCGCCATCTTTTCTTCTGTGCAGTAGAACACCTGCTTTGATCCCTAGCAGAATCCCCTGTTTCCCCAAGCCATCCACTGGAAGATTTAGTTTTGTTTTGATCCCTTGGTCCCCAACTATGAGTAGAACAAGGCAGCCAGAAGCAAAGGCCGTGAGAGAACAAAGTGTGTCTTTATGTGCCAGCTCTCTGGGAGTCTGTTGGTCCCTAGAAAGGCACATCCTGTGGGAATGGTCCGGTGAATAATACCAGGTTGGGAAAGAAAGCCCCTCTCTGTTGAGGAGCCGCTGCCTGTCAGAGCAAACAGTACTAGGCTGCCTGGGTTGGGGTGGTTCTGGGATAAGGTAGCTGCCAACGTTCACAACCCCATGCTGGCTTTGGGGCACTGGCAACAACCCTGCCTTATCCCTTCAGGTGCCGGTCACACCGTGCTTTTCTGAATGCCAAGTTTCATGTCTGCAGTGCCGGATCTTCACCTCCTTGCTTCTGAGGAAGTGCAGGGTGTGTGGAAGTGTGTATGTGTCTCACGCTGTGAACCCTTTATTCTGGTGCTCTACTCGTATGGTACGTACTGTGACGTGTGACCAGCGTTTGTAGCAAGAGTTGCCAAGCTCTGCCTCACAGGCGTATTCTGTTCAGACGCTCCTGGTTTCTTCTCAGGCTCATTGTGTGCCGTTTCCCCCGTGCTCCCACAGGGAATGCGCGAGACAATGTCCTAGAGGGTTGTTAACCATCTCAAGGAAGTAGGCAGTTGATTCTGCCCTGGTGGAACCAAAGCAAAACAAAGAGAAATTGACTGGCAAAAGCTCTTTTCTCTTGCTTTGGGCGGGGGGTGCAGCTTGGGGGGAGGGCAGATCAATGGCAAAAGAAAGCCATGGGACCATATGGATCCTGTCCCCTGGGAGGGAGTCCAGGGAAGAGCGATCATCCCTTGAAAAAGCAGAGGGGGGAAAGGCAAAGGGGAAAGCGGGGCATCTGACATCGGCCACCAAGCGTTGGCCAAGCCATGCCAGGCCAGGCGCTCCATTGTGTCCAAAACCGGCTTTTGAAAGGAGCGTGGAAGTCCTCCTGCAGAAAGAGGTGCATGGATTAATCCACAAATGTTTCAGTTGATTGATTTATGGGGGTTCATTTTAATTAGTGTGCCAAATTTTCGTCAGTGGGTCTGTGGCTTAAAAGCACACCCCTTTTTGAGGCTGTCATTCTGCAGTCACTGGAGATAGTGAAGACAGACTTTCCTTTCTAGGCAGAAATGGCAGCTTTGCTCATGAATCATGTGACGTTCTCTTACATGTTCTTAAAATTATTTGTTACATCTTATATTTCCCCCCTCCTCTCCCCCCTCCCACACCCTGGAGCTCAGGGCAACAAACAGCTTCTCCCTCTTTCATTTTATCCTAAAACAACCCCGTAAGATTGTTGGCCCTGTCGGGGAACATTTGGGTCAAGATGGCACAGTTAACTTTGCCCCTGAGCAGCTGTTTGAATCTGGGTCTCCTTGGTCAAAGTCGGACCCCAAAGAAGCTCTCAATATACCTTCAGTGGACACCGATACTGCAATTCTGGTTGTGGCCCAAGTTTATCTAGCCTTTGTCAGCAGATACAATTCAAAAAAATACACCCCTCACATCCAACCTTAGAAACATAGCAAGTCAGAAGGGAACTCCTGGGCCATCTAGTCTGACCCCCGGATCCAGCTGGGTCGGCTCGTGTAATCCCCAGCATGTGGCTGTCCAATCTGTCCTTGAACACCCTCATGGATGGGGCCTCCACCCCTCCCATGGAAGCCCATTCCATAGCCAGGGGTTCTGATCGCCCAGAAGTACTCCCTGACATCCAACCTGAAGCCTGGTTCCTTGAGCTTTGCCCCATTGGACCATGTCCTTTCCTTCACCTTGGGGGAGAACAGGTCATGACCCTCCACCGTGTGACACCCTTCACATACCTGTATGTCTCTATAAGATCCCCTCGGAGTCTCCTCTTCTCCAACCCTAAGAATATTACTCGTCCCAGGAAATTGTTGGCTTCTGTGATGTCTTAAGGGGGACAACTGGCAGATTTCTGGGTGGT